AGGTCGAACGACGAGACGGCAGTCACGCGGTGTGTTTGTGTGAGGATGTCGGCATTCTTAGCGAGCGCAATGCTCTGCAATGGTGGGCGGGCGTGCGATGAGGCGGCTGTTATGGTGGCGAGGCCGATGGTGATGGCGGCCCGGAGACTCCCAAAGATGCGCATCGTGTGGCGGTGCTTCTCCGCTCAGGAGACGAAGGGGAGGGTGGTAAAAAGCGAAAGCTACGACAACGCAACGAGAGACATGGGTAGGCAAAGTACGTGTATACAGAAGAAACGCTAGTAGAGGCGAAAGGCTATACGCTGGGTGAACGATGGCGAGCGATAATGGAGAGTCGTAATCGTCTACAGGGGGGCTGTGCAGAAGGGCCAGCCACCGTCTTGGCGGCCGGCAAGCGGACAGCGAGGGGGTCTGGGCGCGACACGAATGAAACTATCCACCCTGCCTGCACGTCTGCGCCGTAGACTGCTCTGCTTCGTATCTGTATACGCCGTTGCGCCGCTATTCGCGCGTTTGCTGTCGCGTTGCTCCACGCAGGAACAGCCGGATGCACAAAAATTCCAGTCAACGTGAACCTAGCGGCTGCATATTCGTGCTATATCCGTACTAAACATAGAGGCGCGCACAGCGGCCGCCCAAACAAACACAGCATGGTCATGCCTCAGCGCGCATACTGCCTGCGTCTCACTATAGGACTGCCATTGCTCGGCGCTTGTTCCCTCCAAGCGCGACTGAATTCCTCCCCACCACACTAGCAGAGCTTCGTATGCTTCCCTCCCATGGCAACCACGCCCACCCGAGCCAAGTCGAGCCGTTTATTTCTTCTTAGACTGGTGCACAATATCGATGATCTTGTCGACTACCGACGGATCCGAAAGCTGTCGGGAGGCGTTAGTAAACATCATCCCACCAAGTACGCGTCATCGCCGTCAACAAGAGGAAAATATTGGCAAAACTCAGACTTACTGTTGTAATGTCGCCCAACTGGTCCTCTTCTCCCGCCAAGATCTTGCGCATGATACGGCGCATGATCTTGCCGGATCGCGTCTTTGGCAGATCTGGCACCACAAAAATGGCCTTTGGTGCCGCAAACGGTCCAATCGACTTGCGCACTTGCATCACCAAGTCCTTCTTCACCTGGTCACTTGACTCTGTGCCGTCCTTCAGCGCTACAAAAGCGTTGACGGCTTGGCCTGTCAGTTCGTCATTGATACCCACCACGGCGGCCTCAGCCACTTGGTCTGCGCAACCGTCAGCAACTTGCATATCGGACTTTCGGACATAACGTACGGTGCTCAATAAGCGCGGCTTCGATCTCAGCGGTAGACAGCCTGTGACCCGAGACGTTGACAACATCATCAACACGTCCACGGATCCAGTAATAGCCCTCGTGGTCACGTCCGGCACCATCTCCAGTGAACTGCAGATATTATTAGAATTTGCATGTAAGTAATCATCTTGCCCAAACTCACGTAGTAGCCCTTGTATACGTTCAGGTATGTGTCCATGTATCGCTTGTGTGCTCCCCAAACAGTGCGGGCCATGCTGGGCCACGGCTGCTTGAAGGCTAGTACACCCTCGACATCGTTGCCGTGAATCTCCTCGCCAGACACGGGGTCGATGATCGCAGGCTCGATACCGAAGAATGGTAGAGATGCGGATCCGGGCTTCGTGGGTGTGATGCCTCCCATGGGTGAGATGACGTGGGAGCCAGTCTCAGTTTGCCAGTAAGTCTGTCTCAGTCAGCAACAATTTCTATGAGCGTACTCAGCCGCAACTCACATCAACAACGTGTGCTTCCTCCTTTCCGACAATCTCAAAGTACCACTTCCACACTTCGGCGGCAATTGGCTCACCAACAGATCCGAGAATCCTAAGGTTCTTCATCTTGTGCTTGACGTGCTCGTCACCCGCACGCTTGAGCAGCCGCAGCGCAGTGGGGGCGACGTAGAACTGGCTGACATTGTACTTGTCGACAATGTCCCAGTAGCGCGAGAAGTTGGGGTAGGCGGGTGTGCCTTCGAAGACGACGGTAGCTACACCAAGCAGTAGAGGGGCATATACGACGTAGGTGTGTCCTGTGATCCAGCCCACATCACCACCGCAGAAGAAGACGTCGTTGTCGTGGATGTCGAAGACGTACTTTCCAGTTGCTGCTGCGCCGAGAAGGTAGCCTGCGGTTGTGTGCATGACACCCTTGGGCTTGCCGGTGGACCCTGAGGTGTAGAGCAAGAACAGAGGGTCTTCCGAGTTCATCGACTCTGGCGCAATGTAGTTGGGGTACTTCTCCACCTCCTCATGCCACCACCAGTCGCGACCCTTGGTCCAGGGAACCTCGGCGCCGGTGCGCTTGTAGACCAGGCAGTGGCTGATGCCGGGACATTGCTTGAGAGCATCGTCGACAATCTTCTTTGTGCTGATTGTCTTGCCGCCACGCTTGCCCTCGTCGGTGGTGATGACGACCTTGCACTCAGCGTCGATGATACGGTCGCGTAGCGAATCTGACGAGAAGCCCGCGAAGACAACGGAGTGAACGGCACCGATACGTGTGCAGGCCAAGAAGGAGATGACGGCCTCTGGAATCATAGGCAGGTACAGAGCAACAGTGTCGCCCTTCCTCACGCCCATCTCCTTCAGTGTGTAGGCCAGCTTCGAGACCTGGCGGAGGAGCTCTCCGTATGTGATGATGCGGCCATCGCCCGCGTCGTCGGCCTCGTAGATGATGGCCGGCTTGTTGGGGTCCTTGAAGGCATGGCGGTCGACGCAGTTGTAGCTGGCATTCAGTCTGCCCTCGGCGAACCACGCGACATCGCCATGTTCGAAGCTACCCGAGGACACGGTCTGGAAATCGCGCTCCCACGTGAGCAGTTCGCGCGCGAGTCGGCCCCAGAAAGCTTTCGGGTCTGTGATGGACTCCTTGTACAGCTTCTGGTACTCTTCAAGGTTCTCAAGATGCGGTTTCGAGTGCGGGTGCTTGCTGTGCGCGCGTTAGCTGCGTGCCGGGCTCTCGTCTGGATGCGATCGCGATCTGGTGGTCGGCCAAACGCTCGGCGGCGCGGGGTCACCCCGCCCACCCGCGAGCTCTGGAGCTTGGATGACGCCGCAGCTGTCATTGTCTTGGTGCATGATGCAATGACCAAACAAACAGAGAGACTCACTCGTAAAACGCCTTGGGAACGTGGAATGTGTCCACCTGGTGGGCTTCGGCCACGACGGGCGGCTTGACGTCTCCTTCAGACATGTCTGGGCTGGTCGATGTGGATTATTTAGCCTGGCTGGCGGGGCAAAGGAGCTCGGCTTCGGCGCGCTGCAATTTCGCGTCGAGGGACAGTTCAGCAGCTTCACCAGCGTAAAAGTGTAGTCTGGCAGGACGCAGGTCAGAGACGGACGGATTGTCCAGAACAGTTATATGTCTCAATTCCGGGTAAAGGGGTCGGCGGTACGCTTGATTGCCGCAGGGGCCGGAGTGAAGTTGGTGAATGTTCGGGAAACAGCTGCTTAAGTGGAGCTTCGCGTGGCTGTTCAAGGTTCGAGATTGAGGCGACGCGGTTGGGAGAGGGAGTTTGTAATGCAGAGCACGAGATGGGCGAACGGCACTCTTATGAGCTGCGACTCTAGTAGGGCGTTGGTGATGTCGCCTTACCCCTCGCGTGCCTTCGCTGCGGGGACTGGAATATGACGAACAGCTTATTGCTGGCTTTTGTCTGGGCCCACACGTATTCCGTGGGCGGCACCATGATCCAATACGGATAGCATCCTGTGATGCCCTCCGTTTCTCCGGATCACTAGCACACCACGCCAGTCAGACTGTACTGCTGTGCCGATCCGCCGTCAATCTGCTTGACTGCCAATAATTGGCGACATTCAATTTGCCCTGCTTCACATGCTATGAACGCGCGCAGCGACATGTTGGCTCATCAGTGCGTGCACTTATTCACCATCATGTACCTAGATATCCATGCCGACCCTGACGAAAACAACTTCGGCAGGCGGCCGGCCCGCAACTTCGCAACTGCACAATATCTCCCGGCCGTACGCAATAGCCCGAATTCAGGCGGCGCGGTCGGCCTATAATGACTTGCAAAACTGTCATCACCTGGGCAGTGTCGAAGAGCAGGAGCTCTTCCGTAAGCTGCAAGCTCGGCTACAAAGGTGCCGAACCCTCCTACAAAGCTCTTGGTATGACACCACACAAGCCCCAAGCACCCCATTGTGACCAGACTGTCAAGAGTACAACTTCTACATATCTGGCAGGTTGTGGAGCTGATCGCATGTTCCTTCGCAAAGAATGGGCCTGACCACGCGATGCCTGCAAGCATCAGCTTTCGGGCGTGGGGAAGAGGGACGCAGGACCCATCCGAGGCACCGGCAATTGTTACCGTTGGACTGGTCGCCATATCTGTTCCCGCTTGTCTGTGCTAGTTGTCCTTTACAGTGGACACTTTTGCATGGCGTGCTGGATTACTTACAAGAGCTAGCTGTTGTGGGTGTGTTTTGTGTGCAGTTCGCGCTAAGCTTTCACCGTGCGAGAGGGTAATATGTTCCGTCTCGGTTGACAGCCCATGCGAACGCTTCGTGAGAGAGTGGCTTTGCGCGCGTGTCTTCGTGCACATGCTCACATGGGTACCTAGGTAATGCAGTTTACTGTAGCATCTCACGTGCGATCAACACAGTGATCGCGATGCGACCATCCATACACATCTTGGCGTTCAACCAGCCGTCGTCATAGCTATCGGCATGCCGTATTGGCTGATGTTGGCAGGTCTGGGCACGTTGAATCAGTTGCCGACCAACAACGACTTACAGAGATGTATTAGTTGGTGCATTATCATTGCGGGGCCCCGCAGGAGAGCAATAGCTAAATCAAATATCTGCAGGGCTCGATATATTGCTTTCAACTCTGGCCAGAATAGAAGCCGTAGTAGCCGTAGTAGCCGTTTCTCGCGTCAGACGAAACTTCGCAGCTCAATGGCGAAAAGATGGGCATGTTTTCATCCAGTCTACATAGCAACAACAGTCCCATCCACTACATGTACCACCACATCCCCATCCCCACCCCCATCTCTACTATCACTCCTCCATTTCCTCTTCACCAACTCAGGATTAATCACAATACCCCTCTCCCCCACCCCTTCCCACTCAAACTCATACGTATCCAATTGTCCAAACAACCATATCCTCACCGTCAGCGTATCCGTAATAATGCGTGCAAGATCCTCATCTCGATCCTGATCGCTAGACGTAGGATTCGCCCAAGGGAAGAAGGTAAGCGAGAAGTGTTCGGCTGCTTCGCGTGTTTCAGACTGTGCCATCCAGGATTTGCGCCGGTTCGGGTACCCGGTTATGGTGCTGTAGAGGTAGACGGAGACGCGGCGGTGGAGAGAGGTGGCGGCTATGAAGTCGGGATCTAGGATTGGGTGTGAGCTTAATGCCTTCCTTGGATCGAGGGGTAGGGATGGAGGTTTACCTGATCCAACGTCGGCGCCATTGGCGACATGCGCCAGCTCTTCTGGAAACAGTGTGCCTTCTTGATCTCCTTTTTGCTTTGGCCCCGTTATACCCAGTACGTATGCTACGAGTGCATGCTTGAGTGCCGCAGTTGGACTTGAGCATTCTTGCAGGAGTTCGGCCATGTCCACGTCTTTGATGCCGAACTTGGCGATTGAAGGTTCCATGCTCGGAGTGATACAGGCATGTACGTCGCGGTAGAACTTCTCGATATGCTCATGCATCATGCTGAACAAGTGCGACACGCCGTTCCACACTTCATCGTCGTCTGCCGCAGGGGGTAAGAACGAGGTAACATCCTTGGACGATACGTCTGCCACGGCGGCTGGCGTTACCATCGGAGGAGACAATGCAGCAGTGGGCGTCGCTGGTGTAGGTGTTTGCGATACCTGTACATATGGGCTGTGCCGCCCTCCTAGACTGCCGACACCTTTATGTTGCATCATTCCCAGATCGGGCGCGGAGTCGCCATAGCTTGGGTAATCTTTGCTACTGACGTTTGCATTCTTGTGTTTATTCCGCTGTCTGAAGAGGAAGAAGGCGGCGGCAAATGCGATTGCTGCGCCAATGATGAATGTTCCGATGGCGATACCCGTTACTGCGCCAGCGCTCAATCCCTTCGTCTCGTCGCCAGCTGCTACTCCTGCCAGGGTTGCAACCGTTGCCTGACTTGGATCTTCCGTCGTTACGGATGTTAGTTGGCTGGGTGAGACAGTCTGGCTTAGCGACGTTGATATTGATGTTCTTATGATTGAGGGGGTTTGCGATCCAAAGCTCGTGAAGATGGGCTGAGTGCTAGGTTCGGCAAGTTGTGTGATGCTAGAGCCAAAGCCATCAAAGGTAGGTGATGGCTGTATGTCCGAAATGCCATCGGATGGAGAAATCCCCCATCCACCCGGCGTCCTTGTCAGAGCGAAACCAGTTCCCTCCGTTTGTGCGGTACTTGTCCCGTCCGTCTCTGAGGTACTTGCGCCGAATTTCTCACATCCTGGAAACCAAGGATTACACCGCGGTAAATCGTCGTCAAACGCGGTGGTCGTGAAACTCCGGATAAAAGGTAGCATCTTTACAGTACCCAAGTATATCGAGCCAAACCCAAGGCTGCACTTCAACCGCGAATCCAACGGGCAAAAGGCGAAAAAAAGAGAAAAAGATCAGGAAACGAAACAAACCTCTCCAGCCTCAAGGGCCACCTATGAACAAAGACAACCCCATCGTATAAGCCGATCAGGCTTCCAGCTCAGCCGCAGCATCCTCCAAGGCACGCCGCACTCCGCCTCACGCACTGCAGCAACCCAAACCCCGAAAATCCTTCCAACTCCCAGACAGACACACGCTTTGTTGCTTACCGTCGTACGGGCAATCAAGCCAGACGCCTTGTCATGATTATGCAGCTTCCCACTCTTGGGACGGCGTAACGTGGGGCGCAAGGGTAGGAGTAAGCCAAACCAGTCCAGTATGAGTGCGCGGATACGACGATCCATTTGTTGCGCTAGGGCGGCGGCTGTTTTGTTGTTTGGGGGCCTGGGGATGCATGTGTGGATAAGGGCGGCTGTGCGCAGCCTTGTTCTTGTTTGCACAGCCTAGGTAAGGGTTGTCCGCGTTGTGCAGCGTAGGATGGGTTTTAGATTGCGGGTGTCTCACTTGTTGGTGGTTGTTTGAGCGGCGGGGAGATGTCACGGCACGTGGTGGTTAAATGGAGAAAGAGAGAGGTTTGCACATGCCATTTTCTCAAATCCAGGTTGCCGGCGGGCAAGGGCAGGGTCTATGTGTTCTAGCGTCCACCACCACCACTTCTTCAAACCTTGTTTCTGGTTTCTTTGGTGAACTTCCCTCGAGTTCGCTTGTCGGTATGGATACTTTGGCACCTTCGGTACCTTCAAGTTCTTGTGCGGTTTCTTGGCATGGAAGTTCTGCTGTGCTGTACGATCCTTTGTGGGCCAGCATCTCCACAATCTGATGGTGAGCTGAGACTTCAGCTGCGCTTTCATCGGAGCTATAACCCCGCGCTCTTTGTTTGCGTCGCCTGATACATACAAAGGCGATGATCAGGGCTACTAACACCGCCAAAGCCACGATGCCGGCTGCGATTCCTCCCTTTGCGCCGTTGGAAAGACTCTTTGAGTTGGTGGAAGCTGCGTCTGTGTTGGTTGAGGTATTTGACGGCGTCGAGGTTGGGGAAGTCGAGGAAGCTATCCATGTCGATTGTTAGCGATTGCTTTGTTGCTCATGGGGATTATGGAAACATACCCGTCACCTTCTCCAATCTCCCGTTCTTCAGGAAGCACCCTCGAAGGCCCAGTGTCTCACAATCTTTATCCAACCCCTCTACCAAATCCGGTGCCAACATCGCCGCATCAATCGCAAACCCGGGATACACAGCCGTCGCCGCATCAAACGTAGCGTTCATGAGCCAACAATTTTCGAATTCTGTCGCGCCGAGAGGTCGAAAATCGAAGCCGTAGCACAGCGGCTCTTTCTTGACGCAGCGACCCATGCAATCGGACCAAGTTTCTTCGAAGGTGGGATCGAGGAAGTCGACTTTGGCGCCAATGTCTTTCCCGCAGAGGTTTTGGAAGGGCACGGTGAGGTTGAAGTCGTGGTAGGTGGTGGTGTTGCCTTCGCATCTGTCGCTGTCTGATTGTGCGGTGGTGTGTGTGATGATTGTGAGAAGGCATGCGAGCCAGACGTATGAAGGCATTATGGGCAGCACGATAATGAGTCGTCCCCTACTTAGCAGACGGTAAACAGAGATCGGGAAGATACAAGAAAGGCCGGATTTACTGAGCACCTTCGGTAGCTAAAATACATCTTCTCCGTCTTCTCCCACAGCCTGGTAACGAGCATCGGCCCCCTCAACAGATGCAGCGGACATGCCGCAGACGATCCTCTCGACGTCAAGATCTGTACTTTACCCAATGATACTCGCACCGTGCATCTTCTCCTCCAGCCACATGTTCTTGGCAAAGCACGAGGCGTTCTCAGCCTTGTGCGAACCTCAGGAGCTATGCTGAGAAACTGGGTCCGTTGTAAGGGTGGAGTGTATAAATAGTCTGAATGAACGGGAGAGAAGACGATCTTGTATTTTACTGCGCCCTTGAACAGGAATGCTGCGCAAAAGATTGAACTTAGTGAGTAGCTAGCCTCGTCCGTCAGAGTGAGCGATATGTATGCCAAGAATATGGCGGTTCATGTGCATTGCGGGACGGCCTGCCGTAATCGTTGTTCATAGAAAAGATCAGCTTCAACGTTGATCAAATTTGCAAGTGTCGACTGGCTTGACGTTGTCAAGTAACCGCCATTGCTCTCCACCTTCCCTCAATAAGAAAACGGCCTAATAGCATACGTCTCCTTCTCCTCCGGCAGTGGCGAAACAGGCTTCTCCATAAATTCGGGGTACAAATACCACGCCAAGTGTTTGCCCTCCGTCTGCGCACTAGTCCACCCATTGCCCAACCAAGCCAACCTGTTGCTCGTCTTCCCCACACCATGTAGCTCTGTACCGTCACTCTGTCCCTCGAGCTCATCCAAATAAATATAGTCGAAGTCTTCCCACCTCGGACTCCTCATCGTCTCAACACAATGCAACGTACTTCCTGGCCAGAGCCCAACGACCTCGCCCGTCCCCTTGTTCTTGTACCAACTTCGGCATTCGTCGGCGAAGACAGTGCCCTGGAAGTAGGCGTCGACGTATTCGATGAAGTCCTTCTCGCGCGCTTCCTTGACAACCATGGCTGCGATGTTTTCTTTTTGGATCTTGCGGATTGCTTTGATGATGTAGTCGCCTAGGGTCTCGATCATGCACGTCAGGCTGCCGGAGCCGATTGCGGCGTTGGGACCGAGCATGGTGAAGAGATTGGGGAAGCCAGATACGGAGTGTGAGAGGTAGTTTACGGCGCGGTCCTCCCACCTTTTAGCAAGTGGCAGGCCGTTGCTGCCGGTTAGGGGGAACGGAGGTGGGGCTGAGGCTTTGAAGCCTGTGGCACACACGAGAACGTCGATTTCGTGCGTTTTTCCGTCGGCTGTGTGGATTGCGGATTCGGAGATGTGTGTTATGGGCGATGTGACGAAGTCGACATTGGGTTGCGTCAAGGCTTCGAGATAGCCTGGACCAGGCGTCAACCGACGGCACCCTGGGGAGAAGGAGGGTAAGAGTGCTTCGAAGATCTCAGGCTTGCTCTTCAGCCTCTCTTTCATGTGCTGATGGAACATATCCTTTGCGCCCTTTTGTAACTCAGTCCCTTTCATGGTAACAGCATGGATGCTGTTTCCATCTTCCTCGACTGAAAGCCTGAACTTGTGGTAATATTCTGGATCGTTCGCGAAACGATCGCGAAGCTCTGGGGGAATCGTCGAACCATTGAAACCGTACTTGTCCCATAGCTGTTGGCCGAAGGGAGGCGAGATCCACGTCTTACTACGCACAAAGGTACTAATATGAGTACCTGGTAGACGCTGCAGCGACGGGACAATCTGGATGGAGGAGGAACCAGAACCGATGACGCCTACTCGCTTGTTGTTGAAGTCGTAGGCTTGATTCCAGACTGCCGAATGCATGACCTCGCCTTTGAACGTCTCAAAGCCCTTTATCTCAGGCCAAGATGGTGTGTTCAAACCACCCCTCCCTGAAACAAGTACGTCGGCCTTGTCCTGTAGCACATCTCCTGTGTCGAGATTCTTCACTGTGATGTTCCACTTCGCAGTCTTGCCATCCCAGTGGCATGCCTGAATCTCATGGCGTAGCTTGATGAAGCGATCCGCGGAGTACTTGTGCGCTACGTCTTGGAGGTAAGATTGAATCTCCGCAGACGGGGCATAGAGCGACGACCAGTTCGGGTTCGGTTGGAACGTATACTGGTATGAGTGAGCTGTAGATTATTAGCCGTGGTTGTACTCGTAAGTTCAAGCTTGCTTACATGGTATGTCGCATGCGCAACCGGGATATCTGCGATCAAGTCAGTGAATGCACTGCGAAACAGTAAGAAGACCTTGGTTAGTCACAGAAGAAATGCTTACCTGTTCTCGTACCAAGTCCCTCCAACGCCGCCATTCTTCTCATAGATGACAAGATCGACATTTCTCAATCTCTCTGGAATGCGAATGCCGCAATAGATGCCCGAGTATCCAGCACCGATAACAACAACTCTCAGACGTCGCAAGTTTTCCACAGGCGCATCGTTGAGCTTGAAAGGCGGCTTCGCTGAAAGCCCATTGGCATCCTCGTTAATGGAAATGCCAGGCGCGTCGATAGGAAGGTTAGGTACTGCCGACATCGTCAAGAAAGAACGAGTTACACAATAGGAGTAATTGCGCGACGTGTATCCAAATTAAATGGTTTATTCAGAGGCTAGACTGGCCAGCGTAGGTGGTAGTATAGAGTATGACAGAAACGATCCAGATGATGTTGGCCGCAAAATGGCGACAGAGAACCGTTATAAGTACGGCCACCTACACCCCTCACCATCGTCAGGGTTGGCCGTATGATACAAGTGCCGAAGCAGTAGGCGGAGCGTTAGCGAGACGTCGAGTTACCAGTCGGATTCAGCAGACGGCCTGGGGTTCCACCGCTAGGCTTAGCCTATCAGAGCGCGACAGCCTCCGCATCTGTGTCGGCCGAGGCGCCACCCCGGACCTCCACATGCGTCCCGCTGCATCCCGCAACACGCTCTTAGTGACTTCGCGGAATGTCCCCGTGAAGACTTGCGCGTTCGGCTCTGGATAGTTTTCTATCCGTCCTGTGCAATACAGCTGAGAAACCCCTGCGATGAGCGGCGCGATAGTTGTACCGCAGAGCTGCAATTGAGTTTGTTCCATAGACGATCCCCGGTACTACCTCGGAACCGTGACGATAGCAATCTGTAGTAGTGTAAGCAATTGGAAATCTTCTCTTCGCATTTTGCATACCTGATTTCCAAGAGCGATAGATAACCTAGAACTATCTGGCTCCCAACCAAGACTGTACTCTCCGTCTATGGCCGGGTTCCATTTGTCGCTGGGAGTTTCACTGGCGCGCCACGAGGCAATTGGTACATCTCTCTTTTCTACATCCCAAACAGTGACGGCATCGGGGCCTGCAGCAGCTAAGAGCGACCCGTCTGGAGAGAAAGCAATCTTAAAGGCCTGCGTACCATCCGTGGTAGGTAGATATTTGACGCATTTGAAAGGTTCGTTTGCGTCCCAGATGCGCGTTGCACCAGCCATGGAGCTCGTTGCAAGCAGAACAGAGGGCAGCGAAGAACCGTTCGTAAGGTGGCTGGTCTTTGATTTTACGCGGAAGCTGAGATCGGTGGGGTACTCATCAGGATATTCGTGGACCTGTAGTTGTATCGAGTCGTTGGGGTGGAGGATGCCAAGATAGTACTTCCTGTCTTCGATACCCAGCACGGCGATGATCCTAGACGCAGCGTCATACTTGACTGTTTCCCATGTTACTGAAGTGTCGAGGGTTTGCTGGGTAGTCAGGGAATCGTTGACTTGGTAGATCTTGAAGAGCTTGATACCACAAACGACAAAAGCAGAGTCACTTATCCAGTGGGCGTCGAATATGGCCGTGTCGGTGAATTCGGTCCATGCGGGTATAGAGTCGCTATCGTTCTTCCACACCTTGATGGAACCCTTTTCGCCGTCTGTTGATATCGAGAGCAGCAAGTTTCGTTCGGGGTTCCAGCGAAGCGTGTTGATGAGGCCGGCAGTGGAGGAGATGACCTGTGAGGCCTGGCCGCCTTCGGTAAGCTTGATGAGCTTGTCCATCATCATCTTCTCTCCCACTTCGTTGGATCGCTGTTCTCGCACAGAGACAGTGAGTTCGTTGTCGGAATGCCAGCATAGCGCGGTGACGTCGAAGTTGTCGACGGGTAAGGGTATGTCGAAATGCTGGGTAGGGGGTTCATGGCCAGGGTCTTTGCTCACAACGTGAACTTGGAGTAGGGATTTGCCGGCTGCGAGCAGTACAGGGGAGTCTATAGGCCCCCATAGCGTGTGTTCGATAAGACAGGCAGGGTCTGAGGGGGGAGGGATGGAGACGATGCCGGGAGTGAGATCAGCCACAGCGATGGCCTCAGTCTGGATCTCAGCGTCCTGGCCGATGCTGAGGGTGGATATGGGGATATCAGCAAGCGAGGGCGACTCGGCTTCCGAGACCATGGGCTCCGACTCAGCCCGCACGCTGTTGGTCACATGCGTGGTGCCGTTGTGCTCGATTTCCATGGCATCGCCGTTGACCTGGGGCTCGGGGCGCGGCTCGACGCCATTCGTGGGCTTCGTCTTCTTGCGCTTGAGCGTCTTCTTGGGCGGGGGTTCTTGGACAGCGCCGTTGGCCTCGGCGGCGAGTTCGTGTGCGGGAATGCCCTTGTCGAGGGTCAAGAGGTTGCCATTGCGCGCCGAATAGGGTCGTCCGTGGTCGCTGCCGAACTTGTAGCGCGGCTCCGTCTGCGCTCGTCAGTACCAGCTTCCCGCGCGCGTGTATGCGACGTACATTGCAAGCCTCGGCCTGCAGCTGGTCGAAGCACAGCCCGTCCTGCACGAGCCTGATGAGAGCGTGCTGCTCGATGTTCTTCGCAAAGGGCAGCGTGTCGGGGTCGCGGATCCAGCATCGCGAGAGTTGCAGGGCGGCATTACCGAATCCGGCCTCCTGAAGATATCGCCATACTGCACCTAGACGTCAGTCATGCAGGCCAACAGAGGCGTGGGCTGGGGACGTGTACCGAGATAGTTCATCGCGTTGCTGCTGAGAGTCTCCGCCATGGCGCATCCTGTACGCGCTGCATGCGCCGGGGAGCAGAGTGCGTAGGGTCGGTGATAGGCGGGGCGTGCTGGGTGCGCGATTCGTGGTGGTGGTGGTCGTCGAGCTGTACTGTAGGAGGATCGAAGGCTACCTGCAACTACTCAGCACTCTGGCGGCCGCTAGTCCCCACAGGATCTCCGTCCGAGCGTCGTTCATGATCCCTGCCGTCGACACATGCAGACGCTCCCACGCCTGCATGCGCAATTCACCCTCGACACCTCCACCGCCCGTCTGGACCTGCCCGGGCCGATACGTGAAGGACGCCCGACTGCCTCACCTCCCGCCTCCAGACGCCGCATTCTCCCCACCATGGCGCGCATCAACCTGCCCCCGCTCACTCGGGGCGTGCTGGCGGCCGTCGTATTCTTTACGCTGGTAAATTTCGCACTGCGACCCAACGCCAACCTGGTAGAAAAGATCGAGAAGCCAATCATCGGCGTGGGAAACGGCGTCCCGTGGCTTACCATCGTCCCCCGCTATTCGGTGCCGTGGTATCCTTGGGTCTTCGCGCTGGCGACGGTGGTGGAGCAGAACCTCCTCGGCCTCATCACCACCGGACTCACCGTCTTCTATGGCGGACGCTACCTGGAAAGAGCGTGGGGGTCTCACGAGTTCACCAAGTTCATGCTCTTCGTGGCCATGATCCCCAACATGCTCGCCTATCTGCTCTACATCGTCGGCTACCTGGTCATGGGCAAGACCTCTCTGATGTGCGTACTCGGCCTTCGTCCCATGCACTGTACTGACCAAGCATAGGCGCACGACCATCTCTGGCGGCATCGCCATCCAAGCCGGCTTTCTCGTCTCCTTCAAGCAGCTCGTCCCCGAACACACCGTTGCCATCGCAAAGGGCCTCATCCGCATGCGCGTCAAGCACTTCCCTGCCATCTTCCTCCTCACCAACACCATTTCCGGCATAATACTGGGTACCGAGACGGCCATGTTCCTGGCGTATTTCGGCTTCTTCACTGCCTGGATCTACCTCCGCTTCTACCGCATAAGCCCATCACTATCGTCTACCGCAACTGGCGACGGCTCTGTCATCCGCGGCGACGCCTCAGATACCTTCTCGTTTGCTCACTTCTTCCCAGAGCCCATACAAACACCCGTTGGCGCCCTCTCGGACGGCATCTACAACACACTCGTATCGCTCAAAGTGTGCATACCCTTCTCAGATCAGGATATTGATGCAGGCAACGAACAGGCGAGCGCCCGGGCTGAAGGGGGTTTACCCAGCATCATGAACCCTAACAGCAGGGGCGGTCGAGGAGGAGCCACACGTGCGGAGGCAGAAAGGAGACGTGCTCTCGCTCTAGAGGCTCTGAACCAGCGCCTGAACGCAGCAGCGTCTCGAGGTCCAAGTGCCGCTGCTCCGTCAGCGCCTTCTGTCTCTGGACCTACCGAGTCACTCGGCGAGACAAACTACGAGCCGGACCGACCAGAAGCACCCGAGAGATCAGGGGCGTAGTACACTCGCTCTCAGGGATATCTTAGATCGCTTTGATTACCCGTTGTCGTTCATATACCCGTGGCAGCAGGCGCCTCTCTTACTCCACCGAGTACCTACAAGTTCTCGGCGTTTTGGGCATGGGGCATTGCGGCCGCGTCTTGTCAGCGTTACAGCGCTTTGTTTGGTCGCGTTATTGGAGCGCATATGATACCACCACTCGGGAGGGACTTGTCAGTATTCTTGTACCCAATTATTGTCTACTATCAGAATAGAGTAAGTCGACTGTTTACAAGTCCATCGTTCCATCCGCCGGCTGTTACACCTTGCGAAAGACGTTGCCGCGACGCAGCGGGCCAGTGCCAGAAACGGCACTTCATCAACAATGCGCACTCAAGTGCTCAACTGTACTCGACTTGAATCAGCACTGCCGTTGCGTTTCAGTCGACATGCATCTCTCATGCGCACATAATCGAGCGCCTCCCAGGCACCACCCGCACTTTTGAAGACTACGTTTCCGCAGAAGTCCTCGAAGGGATGCACGCAGCCTACGTGCAGCCTGGTCGCGTACTGCAGGTGATCAGTGCAACCGGGCATTTTGTTACACAACTCTACCCGCCGAGTCTCACGGAGCCGGTAGAGAGCAAGTGTCGTGACAGTTGATACACAGAAAAAGAAATTGCCGTCTCATATTGCTTTGGGAAGAAAGATGCTCTCACCTCCACGAGACGTACAACTCACGAGAAGTACAAGTAGACCGGAATTCTCTATAGTTTCTGTAGACAACGCGCGTCCTATTCACACTTCAGACCTATCAGATCTCTCTACTTTGACAGTAGCAAATCGTCCATCATGTATACATCCATCCTCACCACCCTGCTCATAACCGGCACCACCCTCGCCGCAAGTCTGCCTCCGAGCCCAGGTCATCCTTTCATCCCCTCAGAATACGTCCCAGAATCTGCACATCCAGCTGCAAAGCGACAAGGCCTCCCCCTCGGCAATGTTCTAGGCGGAGGCGATGTTCTGGGCGGAGGCGATGTTCTGGGCGGAGGCGGTCCTCTGGGCGGCCTAGGAGACTTATTAGGCGCTGGAGGCGACGCCGAGAGCTCTTCCGCTGCGCCCGCCCCGGCTCTGACTCCTGTTCCCAGAGCATCAGACATCGTCATGACGACCACCATGGTCACCGTAACAGCGACCTTGTCCACGCCGTTGCCAGAAGCGCCATCAGCTTCCGTGTCTCCCGCGCCTGAGGATGTGGCTGGTGTGTACGTCTGCGACGACATCAACTGGAACGGCGCATGTTCGCACCACTTCACCAAACCAGGCGGTTCAGATATTGACTGCGCACAACTTTCTGGTAGAGAATCGTCGATTGGACCGGATCCGGGGTTCTTGTGCGAGTTCTTCACGTACGTTCTGAGACCTTATCTCTTCGCGAATCTAGCTAATACCTTCGTCAACAGCAACAACTCCTGCCACAAGACTCCTGGCGTTGAATCAGATTTCCTCAGCTTGAGCTGGCCCGGTAATGCGGATCTGAGGAGTACGGACAAGGGTGATCTGAATGATAAGTTCTTGAGCTATGTTTGCTTCAAGGTGTTGTAGGAATGTGAACTGGGGAGATGGGTGATTGAGAGTCTTGGAGGATTAGGAGGGGCTTGAAAAAGGATTGAGTGAGAGACAGGTGCTTTCGTTCAGGTTCAATTGATGATTTTATGACTCAGATCTTGACTCTAGGTATTGTGAACTTCTTTCTGAGTGTGTTGGTGAGGATTTGCCGTCCCGTGGCGCCTGCGCAGTAAATTGTTGGTTTGAGTCGTTACTGACGATCGATGGCCATGTGCTGCTTCTCGTGCATAAATGTTTCTTGGTAGCACATGTCAGGCACGCTACAAGCTCGCTCCTTACATACCCCGTTGTGTTCTTTGTTTGTTTATCTGCCTGCTCCCATTCTTCCTCCATGCTTCCTCCATCACATCACTTCCACATCACCTGACTCTTCTAGGATACGACCCATTTTTCTTCGTCCTCAACTATCCTCACTTCTATCATCATATATTGCTTCCGACTCCCATTCATACCCACCATTTATATCTTAGCAGTCTATTGGTGTCGTCACAGTTTCTCCTCACGAGAATGCGGTCTGCCCAGAAAAAGTACACCGAGTACCTTCTACTTCAAAAGCCCCTCGAAGGCGATTGGGAGAACATGCTCATGGTCCTGCCTTGATCTCGGACCAGTCATCTATTGGCAATATCGCTACGACAGTAAGTATCTGACCCCAGAACATCTTCACACCATACTGACTGTTCCTTAGTATCATTACAAAATTCCTACCACCATATTACGCACATTTGTATCCATTTGGTCGTCAGAACGAGATTGTCAGGAACGCGTTCGTGCAACGTAAACAGCTGGAGATTCAGAAGGCGCGCGAGCAGCAGATGGCGCAACAACAGGCAGCGCAACAGGCAAAGCAACAGGCCGCGCAACAGGCAGCGCAGCAGGCAGCGCAACATCGCCATCATTCTCCCGCCAGCTCTTATCCTGCCACGATCGAAGGCCAATCCATGATCGGCAATACTATCCTCGAGGAGGTCAGGTGTCCACGATCCAATATCGCTCTATAGGAAACATTGCTACAACGGTATGTCTCTTCTCTATAGCCTCACGATACCTTACTAACCGAGTCTTAGTATCATTACAACATTCCTACCTTATTCATCCTCTATATCAGATCAGTCTTCCATCGGTAACACTGCCCTGGACGAAGCCCGAAAACTTGGTCGACCATTCCAAGGTTTAAAACAGCAGTTGGACGTCAGATACTCGCAGTGCAACCGCGCTCTATTGACCCATGATCGTCGTCAACTTCGACACCGAGAACTGGGAATGCAAGCAAATCGCCCTAACCGAGATCGGCGGCACGAGAGGTGCGAGCTGGCAGCCGTGGAATAAAATCGACCACGACATCCAATACAAATTCCAACATGACGAACGGCAGATACTCAATACCCAGCAATATCGCCTTCAATAAGAGCCCAACTTCGAGGACGACCGATTTTTACAGTGCATTTTCTAGTCGACTCCATGTTCCGAGCATGCCTCGCCGGCAACATCGCCACAACAGTATGTCTCCTGCTCTGGAGCTCCGCGATGTCTTGGACTGTTTCCCAGTATTATTACGGTATCTCTACTCTCATTCATCACCATTATTCGGCGCATGTATCCTCAACAGGCCATCGCTATCCAGTTCATCCTCGCCCCCACCGGGGCGCTTAAACAACATCGACGTTAGTAGACGACGTGTCCACGGGTTACACGACTCTGGGAATCGATCCCATCGAATTCGATGATTCGTTCTCGCTACTTTACAGTAGCTCTCGGTAGCCTCGTTGCTACCGCTGCGCTGATACCCCTTGTCCCATCCGCGACACTCGAGGTACATACCATTCGTCCATTATATTGTTGTCCAAAGCTAACTTCAGTCTACCAGTATCCCGCCATCTCATTAACATGTCCTTGATGTTCTTCCTCCAAGACGGTCTTCATTCTCGTCATCAATCATTACTTTCATCACTATCCACATACTTCAACAACATTCTTACGACCTATCAACAAATTTGTTACTACATCAGCCCTCACTGGGTTCCAGCGGGACAGCGAGTTCGAACTCCATGAGAATCTGTTGAGACGATGCCGAAGAGAGTGCCATGGACGACTTGTATAGGGATACCTTCATTACTACACCCTCGCAAACGCTCACATTGTTGGTATCTCTTACTAGACCCCAAGAAGCTCGACAAATACTTTCAGTGGTATTTCAACGACCTGATGGCCACCCAATAGCCATGCAACGAGTCCAAGATTTTCCGTCAAAACTCTAACGGCGACGAAGAAGGCGCTATGCATGTACTCGAAGCCGTCACTTTCTGCCCCTTTTTGGCTCCAACTTGCACTTCGGCTTCAGCGCTTCGCCCTCATCGCTATCGCATTCCTATCATCCTTATCCTGATCACTTCTCGCCAGCGACGAGTACAACCACGTCTCAACTCCTACACCATCGCCAATCCTTCAGCCAGTAGACACTCCTCATCGAAACTTGGATCACGAGTCTTCACTGTAAGTTTCCCTTCCTACCGTACTTCCTCGTTTAGAGAGGGTACGCAATGTACTCTAGCATCTCTCTGTGCTAGACTAATCTGGCTTCAGCATTCTTCCGCTATCCTTACAACTTCTTTCGGCAATCGATTCCTGTTATCGATATCCTCGTTCTAGCCATGCCTCTACTCCAGTCAGTTTCAGATCTGTGGGGTCTACTCCCTATCATTTCGCATTCATCCATATCCTATCGTTATGCCTACGGCGTCGCACAGGTCAAGCTCGGTTACCTGTCCCATGTCCTTGGAATCTACAACACACCGAGATTCAGGAACTGGAAGACCGCGTCAACGCCCGCGCATCGTCTTGTCCGATGCGTACATACCATTAGTAGCAGGAGCGACTGCGCGAGAAGTAAATGATCACTGGGGTTCATGGGCTGGATGTTGATCGTCGCGATTTGAGGTCGATGTGGATGGAAAGGTCACCTTGAGAACTTTGGGAGCAGACTTTGTTGGCGTGGCTCTTATCTTAGAGAATACTCTGTTCTCTTGTCAACATTACTTCCCATGTCACAGTGATGCCGATGCTCCGTCTGACGCCGAAAGCGCAAAGAAGGCATACTCCAACGTGCGATGGAGATTCCGAGCCTCATTCTCATATCTTACAACGCAATTTCTTACATCATGCGCTAGAAGACGTTGTTCATCGTCATTTAGCTATGTCCTCGGACTAAAGGACGAGAGCAGCCTTCGTTCGTGGAATTTATGTCTTCCGCGCCATTACCATTTCAGTTTAGTGCATCATTTACCAGGTCCGCGATCGTCATCGCAACGGTCATCTTGCCACATACCCACGGCTGCACCCCCGCATCTTCTCTCAAATTTACGACTACCACACTGTTCTAGTGTCATGCGCAATATCGCAAAGTAAATACTTGGCCAATTATGGCTACGCAACATGCAGTAGCATCGTGGCTGTAGAAAGATCTCGGAGTTCTCCAAAGGCTACCCGGTTTTCTCGTCCTGTGCAATTTATTCGGAGGCCACGATTCAGGTCACTCCGGAACTTGTTTACTATTCTACGAGATTAGTAACGGTCCTCCGTGTCAGTCTCCAGTCTAAGTAAATTGTTGCACTGTATAAATGTGTGCGTAGTCGTAATGCCACGACGCGCTGCGCATCTTTCAAACCATCAAATTTCATCATGAAGCTATCCGTATCCCCTCTCGTACTACTAGCAGCCATCGACAATGTCACGGCTGTTCGCTTCCTCGGCCGTGTGAATCCGGACACGCAAGAGTTGACATGGCCCGGAACCGGCGTATCCTTTACCTTTACAGGTTCCTCCGCTAGCATCGGCATCGAGGGCACAAGCGGCACCAACAGTGCTCAGTTGACCATCGATGGCGTAGCGACTGTCATTCCTGATGTTAATGGCACCTCCATCAAAACGCCCGCTGACCTCGGTAACGGCAAACACACGGTCGAACTGCGGAAACGATCAGAGGCTTCATACGGCACCATAACCATTGGCAACGTGACCACAGACGGCACCTTCGGTCCAGACATCTACGCCTCGCGCAAGATCCAAGTCATCGGGGATTCCATCACCGTGGGCTACGGCCTCGACGGCGTCAACCCATGCGTGAACAGCGCCGCTGTAGAGAACAACCCCAAGACCTACGCCGCCCTGGCTGCCGACGCATTAGATGCCGATTACGACATCATAGCCTGGAGCGGCATCGGTCTGACGAGAAACTACGTCTCTCCCACCCCCGATCCAAGCGACATCATGCCTCAACGCTGGACCAGATACGGCGCTCTCGATCCGCTGAACAGCTACACGTTTCCCGCAAACGCCACACCAGATGCTGTAGTCATCAATCTTGGTACCAACGACTTTGGCTATCAAGCCGGCGTCCGCGACCCGATCGTTCCGGCAGAATACACCGCTGCCATGGTCAACTTCGTCAAGACGATCAAGACACACTACCCAGAGGCTGCTTTCTTCCTTCTGACATCGCCTATGCTTGGCGACGGGTATCCTGCAGGTCAGGCACAGAAGACTACGCAGACGAATGCATTGAACGCTGCGATTGCGCAACTTAAGAACAGCACGAAGATCAGTCTGGTGGATATGCCATCGCAGGGCTCAGACGTTGCTTGTGATTACCATCCCAATGCTGCGACACATGCGGAGATGGCGGAGCTTCTGACCAAGGCTCTTGCTGGTGAGCTGGGTTGGTGAGGAAGTAGAGTCGTTGTAAAGAGGGGTTGAAGATGTATGTATTTTGACACTGTAAATGTATCTAAGATTATCGTTGATGCTGAAAAATGTCGGTACGTGATGACTATCAAACTTATTGCGTAGACATATACTTTGTTCGACCCGGTCTACGTAAGAAAGATCAATCGCGTCGCTCGCAACAAGCATCTATGCAAGACATGACATGCAGATGTTCACTCCAAAAGCCCGCGTGGTACAAAGTGTACCATCACAAC